CGTATTGGGGTCATCCTGGAGTATCTAGCATGAATGTTAATGATGAAAGAAAATTACTTCCCTGTAACTGGGGTTGGAGTGAACATAAGTTGCACCACTTTTTTGTCAAGTTGATCTTTTATTTTGGGTTTCTGCTGAATGTATTTAGTTCCACAAACAAATCGAATTGTAGCTATTTATTTACAACATCTGCATTTGTGGAAATCAACCAAGTTAGTTTGAAGTGCAGTTTTTCCTAGGAATCTACATAATCTACTCCTTATTTTTACCCACTTAGGGAGCAGGCATTCATTTTTTATCAGGTTGGTTTAGGGCAAAAAGCTGTACTGTACCTGACAGCCTTGTGTACTGTGTGTTTGTTTGACCAGAGCCATGTGCAAGTTGCAGAGCAGAGAATCCAACCCACTGTGTCACTAACGAAACCCTGGGGCTTTGCACCTCCGTGTATTTCTGTTTCTCAATGGTCAGCAAACAGGAAAAGTAAGGGAAGTCTCACAGAATGAATGCCTTAAGGAATTGTTTCTCATCTGCTCATATTTACACAAAAATAAATATAGAGAATTATGCCTTTAAAAGTTCAAGCCTTTGAATGGAGGTTTGTGCTTAGCAGGCATAAGTCAAGAAGTCACTCGCAACAGAACTGGCTTTGTTTTTTATCATCACTTGCAATATCCTGAATCTCTGCTAGCTATTGCAAACAGTTTGGTGAGCGAGCAGATGAGATGTCAGAGGACAAAGTATCACTCTCTAAGGAGAAAGTCTTGGACATCGCTAAGATAAAGGCAAGACATAGTATGGAAAAATATAATTTAGGCAGTGAATTATTTTTTTTAAGAGAACATTTCTCCAAAAGCAAGAACAAACCTTAGAAATTATTATTTTGCATCTGATGCTAGAAGAAACCAAGCTTTTTTTCATCTCCTCATTGTACTATGTGCTAATTTGTTTTTTCTGAACATTATGAATAAGGCCAGACAGCTCTATAGTTTCTGGAGAATTTTACTGATAAACTTTTAATTGAAGTCATGATCTTGGCTGAAATCATCGACTCTGTTCTGGATTTTTATTTTTGTTCAGATGTATTAATTTCTAAAGACTGGCAGGCATAAATTGTCCTGTCAAAATATTTAATTTTTGAAGGTTTTGAAGCTTAGAAGCTGCAGAACTTGCTGCTTAAAGTATTTTGTCTTGGAGTTTTGTCAGGAGTCTGGAAAATTATGCCTTGTTTCTTGAGTCATCTGTAAGGGACATGAAGTTCCCCCAAGAAACATGTTCTTAAGAATGAATAATATCATACCGAATACAGAGAATATTCTTCACAAAAGTGTTTGAAGCCCTCGCTTACTCTTTCTTACTCTTCACTCATTTTCTTCATCATGATTATGTCTTCAGGCTGATGAATCTTTGAGGGATGGTGTCTCTGACTTGACATTTCAGGAAAGACCACGGTACAGTTGAGTTTATCACACAATTGTCCATGCCCTTGCTGTGAAGCTCTATTGTGCTGCTTCTAGAAAGTGTCGGTGTTCGTTTGTCAAAGGCTTTCATTCCCTTGATTATTTCATCCAGTTTGTCGCTCCACCAACTGCAGAGCAAACACAAGGGAGGGAACAGCTCTTTCCAGTCTCTGTCTGGTCCTGGCCATGGTTAATGCACAATGGTACTAATTCTTTCCCAGGGATTGTTTTACTGACTGTGACAATAGAAATGTGATGTTTATGCACATAGAGGAGAGCAATTGTGACACGAACCTTCCAAGCTGAGTAGACGTTAATCTCTGCTGCTCTGTTAGTGCTGGCAGGGTGTGTGTCCGTGCTCCACCAAACATTTGCACAGGGATTTAACTGGGCAGAAGCCCCCAGACTTTTGCGTGGGTGAAAACATTGCTGTCTTATGATCGAGTGCTGACACAGACAACACTAATAAACTGCAGTACTTACCGGGATGTTTCCCTGTCCTATTAAAAGAGAAAATTATATAAAGTAATATTTCTCTCCACTGCCATCTAGTGAAGTTATTACTCTGTGTAAAGGCTTTGATACTCTTAGTTGAGCATTATCATAGGTAACTATAGCTTAGTAGCAGACAGGACTTTGTGCAGAAGGTAGAGTTCCAATGCAGAGTAGCTAATAGTCATCCTTCAAACAGTGCAAACTAACTGAGGTACAATAAATTTAATCATAGAATTCAAACTATGGTTACAAGGATAGAGATCCTCAGAAGGTTTTATGCATTTTATCAGAACAACAGAAGTGATTGGGAACACCTAGATTCAAAACACAAAGTTTTGAATAAAGCAAGGACTAAGGATCTGCAGGCTGCTGGAATGGTTTAATTTTTTATTTTTTTTCCAGAAAGTGCATAGGTTTCCTAGGGATGAAACCCATGTAAGTTAAAAAAGTAAATCTTGCGGCCAATTTTTTGGTTTCTATTTTGTGAACCATCCTAAAAGATCTTAAGCTTTAGATGAAGTTTTTGTCTGTTTTTACTGAAGGCTTCCAGAACCTTACAGAAAGTTTATTCTCACAAAGCATATCCCTTCACTAAGGTCTGAATGGAACCTCAGAGGTCATTTGGGCATTGCCCTGCCTCAAATCAAGCTCATAATGAGGAAGCTATTACTCCCTTCTTTATTTTCAAGTATTTTTCAGTGTTGTCGCGTAGCCCCTCAGTTTTCTCTAGCTTGAGCAGCTATAGTTCATTTCATCCTTTCAAATATGTCTCTCATCATTCTTGATCCACCTCTTTTTGTGGCTCATTTATTGGTCTGCATCTTCTACTTCAAGTCCATATCTTCAGGTCCATGGAGTGATGCTCACCAAGTCCTCACTGTGAAGTTCTTTGGTCTAGAACTTGAATGATGCTTTCTTAAAAACAAGCTTTTGAGATTTTCAGTGATCTCCAGGTTGTGTTGCGTAGAACACACCATGGGTGTGCTCTGATGGTTTTACTGCCTCCACTGCCAGGATGGGCACCTAACTGGGCTATGCTGTGAGCATGCTACACCTCTCCATTTCTGTTCAGCTCAATGAGATTGATTTTTGTCTAAAGATCCTCGTCTATTTTTGTAACATACAAGTAGGTCATCCCTTCTTTTCCTGATAGTGGAAATAGCTAAAATAGGACATAGAGCTCTGAAATCATTACTGTCTTCATGCATCATTTTGTGAGCAAAATGTCTCTCTTATTACTCTTGTGAAAGTTGTCTTAAAATCAGAAGCAGTTCCCAACACAAGATACTAAAACTAATTTAAGTTGAAAAAAGACATCATATTAACGTGATTTAGAAGGAGGAAATATCAAGACAAGTGAAAAGCAGATCCCTTTGGTGGCTGAAATGTGTATTTCCATTGCCATAGCTGAGCAGTATCTCTGCACTCCGATTCTTTTACTGTATTTCCATTTCATTTTCACAGGCACGATGGAAAAACACTAATCTGTAAACTTCTCTGTGTAGCTTTAATAGCAGCATGGTGGTTTGTTTATTTATTTTTTAGCTTTGTTCTACCAAACTTACTTTCCAAAAAATCTACTAGGCAACATTTACTGGCAAATTTTGTGTGTATCCTTCAGCCCTTACTGATTAAATATTATCTTAAAATAGAAGTGAAAGATGAGTTTATATTTTAATTTGAGATTTACTGCTGAAGTCTGTGCTTCCAGGCAGGAACTGCAGATGTACGGACTTGCTGTATTTGCTAAAGTTATGGAAAGGAAGTGAAGCAAACCGGGCATCTGGCAAATAAAAGACAAGTGCAGGGTGGAATAAGTTTATGGTTATTATGTATTTTGGAGGAAACTTTTTTAAAGTCTTCCATTGAATAGTGCCATAAAGTATAAATTATAGAACAAAATTTCTTAAATTTGTTTGCTGAAATGTTTGGGAAATTCAGGAGACTTTGAAAAAATTTGATGCTTGCAGTTCTGCATGAGCTTGCTATACTCAGTAATCAGGGCCATATTTAAAGAAAAGAAAAATCCTTTCTTTGGTTTACTGAGGAAAGGGTAAATAGGATTGAGTTGTAACCACTACCCCCCTGAGCCAAGCTAAGTGACTCGGAGAGGAGTTGTTTTACCTGTCTCTTGAGACAATACACAAAAGTCTTAAGTCACACCATCTGCCAAGGCATATCGACAGTATGCCAGGGCAGCCAGACAATGCCAATTATAAGTAAGCAGTTTGGTTCATTGGCAACTTCAGTATTGATCTTTTGCTGAATAACATGTATTTTTCAGCCAAATTGCATTTAGCTTCTTTGATCAAGGAGTTCCCTTCCTGAGTTACAAGCAATGACATTTGAACACTTAATTGCATGTTGTCATAATACTTACACTTCATTTTTATTGGAAAAATACTGTTCTGAGTAGAAAACTTCAGCCAGTGCATTATCTTTACTTACAGTTTCATCCAAAGTGTTGCAAGCGAGTGGCATATAGTGAACCCACAATGTGGTTCCTAAGCAGCCCTGTTATCAATAAACAGCTAAGAAAGTACATTATGTACTTCAAGATACCAGGCACATCAGGAAGAGGAAAGAAATTGAATTATTATAGTATTGCATGGTTCACATTGTATTCTCAACCAGAATTTTCATTCCTTGTTTTGAAGTCGACAAGTAAGGTATTAAAAAGTTAGTATTAAAAAGTTTTCTTTTGTTCTTTCCATTATTGTTTATGTTGGAATTCACGTACTTCAAGCTCCTTTTTTATTTCCAAAAAAAACATCAAAGCTTTTGGACAATCTACTGCTGATAAAGCAATGTAAATTGCCTTTATGTCTCAGGCTAAAAAGCAGCGTGGAAGGTTAAATGGCATGCCCCCTTTGAAAAGTAACAAGAAAGAAACGCTCCATGAGAGCAAAGCCACTTGTTCTTCACTTTTAGAGTAAGCCACTTGATGGATAGGTAGCTATAGAAGAAGGATGAATACAGGACATTTTCTCGAGACACAGAAAAGTTCAAGATTGATTACTTACCCTGGTTTTGCATAGTGCTGCTTCTACACATAATATTAAATCCAGACTGGAGAACAAAGGTAAAATATTGTAGCATGTGCTGAAATGGCTTTCCACTGACTCTAATTCTGTCTCTTCTTTTCATTGCATTATTGTTTTTGTTTCCATATTGTAAAAATGCTCTGTTGAAAAGATGAATCAAGCTGGTCAGGTATATGAATGTCCAGCTATGCAGAGTTACTGCAGTTGGATTTTATAAAGCAATACTACAGTTGCTTATTCTGCCAGTAAGTTGAATGCTGTTCTATTTCCTTGAGAAAAAAAGTAATAAAAAATGGGACATCAAGAATAATCTTTAAATAGTTTCCCAGTGAAAAATATATGGATTTTACTTCTACCTTCCAGTAACATATAGTATCTGCAGAAATGGCTTGTTTTCAGTCAAACTTCTTGAATCATGTATCAAAACAGGTTTTTATTGTTTGGTTTGGGTTTGGTTTTTTTCTAGGAGTCATCCTGGCCGTTACATCCATTCTTCCTGCTTTCTAGTAGGGCAGTAATTGTATTCCACCTTGTGCATAGGGCCTCCATTACCTGTAAAAACAGATGCATATTAAAAAAACATAGCAAGAAGGGAGAAAGATGTAAGTTACAAACTTTGAAGTTTATCCTGTCACATAACAAAGTGTCAGACCCAAGATCCACCTCGCCCAAAACTCTGTATCCTGGAACTGCCAAGAGTGGATAGTTAGGAAGAGGGAAAGTAGCAAAGCAAATAGCGATAGTTCCCCTGAATTCTTTTCTGATGTCTTCCTAAGCCAGAGATGGTGCAGGCTTGATCCAGCTCTTGATTAATTTTTCTTCCATGAATTTTCCCACTCCCTCTCTGAATCCAAGGAAGCTTTTGGCTTTCTGGTTCTGACTCTGCAACAATCTCTCTACACTTGATTTCAGCAGGCTGCGGTCTGGGCCAATTTTGGGGATCCTGACCCTACTGAAGTTGACTGACTTTCCCTGGCCAAGGACTCTGTGCTTGCTTCCAAATGCACAGATTGTATCTGATGTGTAGGCTGTCAGGGAGCCCAGTTCTTCTGAAGGAATGGCATAAAAGTAAAGACTTCTAGGGAAACTTTGCAGTCTACCCGTCTTAGATTCTCTTGGTGGACTTAAAAGTAATGTCATAACAATCACTTCATATTTATAGAGAAAGCATAACTCATTGCCAATATATTATTGTGCAAATTTATTTAGTTTGCATTTTCTTTCCATTTACTGAAAGAGTAAGATAATTAAGTAAATTTAAAAAAACAAAACACAAATGAGTATTTTTTCCAGGATGAAGGCATAGAGATAATGCTAATAAGGGCAGATTCCTTTGATGTCAGGCCTCACGCTGCATAAACTTCATGGACCCATCATTAGTTCTTGTCATCTCTTAAGGTCTTTTGGCTTGGGGCCAAACAATTGATATAGTAGAGAGCTTCCAGCTAAAATAACAGCCTCTGCATCTTTATCTTCCCATCCATCAGATTGTTGGTGGAGGATAGGACTAATTTGTCACTCTACCCACTTGGAAAAGTTTGATAAATGGCTTAATTAGACTTTTTTTTTTTTTAAAAGAAATTCTATTTCTTGAGAACTAGAGGTTGGGAAAACAATGGCTATGGATTGAATTAGAACAGGAAAATATTTTTTCTTCAGTAAAGATCAGAGGAAACACAACCATTATGCAAGCATGAGGAGAAGTGGAAAGAGTACAGTTAGTTGGAAGGACTTTAAAGAGGAAAAAAAAAAAAACCAGCCATCCTAACACTTGAGTGTTCTGTGAACTGTACAGTTAACCAAAGACTGCAGGCAGACCTTATCTCTATAGAAACATCAACCTGCAGAATGCTATTTTAAATACACTACCCCCCAAATTAGAGTGCACCTAAGCCTTTGTGTTTAGACTTCTAAAATAGATAACACAGTACCATTTTACCTAGAAGAACATCTAAATATACAATTAACAACTTCTGTTTAATATTTTTTAAATATTCCAGCATGTCATCTATACTGAAGGGAGCAGTGCTTTCCAGGAGGCTCAGGAGACTAGTGCCTATGCCAGTCAAAGTGAGGACCTTGCTTCAGATCTCATTTTTCAGTTTTTGGACAGAAGAGGGGACGGCCCAAGGCTACATGCAATTCTCCTCTTGATAAGTCAAGCACTGAGAAGTTCGGATCACAGTTTCTGAATGTTCCTGCTCAGAACATGCTAAAGGTAAAAGGATATTTGAGCTTTCTCGTTTTTGTGAGGGCATTTCATGGCTTATGAATCAAAATCCCATGGATTAATGTAGATTAAAATCAGTGCGTTTGATGCTTTTTGAGCTTTCAGCCAGAAAAAAAGGGAGAGAGAAGCTGAGTAAATTGCTTCTCTCGACTGTTGTTTCAACCACCAAGTATGGATAATTATCCCTCCACTTTGCATGCATAATTATGACATCTATGCACATGTGTTCACACATGTGGATGTGTCTGTGACAGCTGGTAAATCTTAGCAACTTAGATATGTCTGGACTTTGTCTTTCTAATCATGTTTTTATGTAACCATTCCATTTGGATCATGAGGAAATACATTTCTCCTTTCTCTGGTCTGACATAAATTAACAAGGCAACAGACAAACTGCATCCTCCTTCTTTTTCCAGAAATTGGATGTAATTCAGAATTAATTTAAAAACTGTTTAACCTCTAGGCAGAAACTTATTTTAGTAAGGAAAAGACAAATATTTTTCAATTAAAAAGATTTAGAATCCCTTTCTCTGTAGTACACTAATCTGAAATGACACTGAGGGGTAATAGGCCTGGTATTAGTGCTTCCCCAAGGAAATGACTTATCTTTTGCACTAAATTAACTGTCTCTTCCTCACACATCCTAAAGCTGTCAGTTTGGGCACTCTGTGTAAGGAAACTTCTTCTGATTTAAAGTTTCTGAGGAAAGAGGCAAAACAAATGTGTTTAAACAATAATGACCTCTTATACCCCAGTCTCCACAGTCTTTTCTGAAGTGGATAGCCATTAATGTTAAATCATTAATATTAAATCATTAACACTCCTGGAAAGGTCGTGGGGACAGATTGTGGGAGTAGTCTCCGTGTGGGTCAAATCCTGGAGGCATCACATGTGTAAAGGCACAGCAGCAAATGCCAGGATAAGGTGAAGATGAATCGGGGTAACCCAGAGGTCTGTGTAAGGGCAGCATTAAAGAGAGTTTTGCTGGCCAGCCTGCAGGCCACCACTACGGTTACAACCAGAAATGACTGCAGGTTACTGATCTCCCCTGACTCCTTGGTGGCCTCTCTTGAGACCCAACAGTCGTAATGCAAATGCCACATTGAAAGCGTTCTCCATCTCTGCAAGCCAGTGTCACCAAAATGGGACCTTGGTGACCGAGTGCCAACAAGCGCTGGCATGCTTCTGGTGTGGCTTGTGAGGTGGGATGGTGCAACTCCACTGCTCATTGCCATTTCAAGAGCAAGAGCCCCTTGCAAGCCATGTCAGGAGCACAAGCTCTTGACATGTGGGTGCAGACACCTCGCTGCCACTTGATGTGGAGTTTAGTACCTTCCCTGTACCAGTTTGCGATCTGTGTGATGCATAAAGCTTTGCCTGGGCTACTCAGCTTGCCCTTCATTGTTGCTTTCCCCTGGGACTGCGGCAGGAGGCCCACGCTGACCTCCAGCTCAGCAGATGTTGTTTGCAGAGCCAGTTTTGCACAAAATGGCTCGTGCTATTCTGCGTCACCCTGTTGTTGACATCAGTTGCCTTGTACTAGTGTTTGTAGTTAAGAGCTTTGAGTTGGAGCTTGTTGCAACTATGAGACATCTTTAATATAATAGAGAAAAACTATGTGAAAAGCATCTCATGACCATTTTATATTCCTGGCTGTAGTTACTTCTTTGTGCAATCTTTTTACTGTCTTCTGTTAGGAAGTCAAGACTGGTACCCTGTAAACATTTTCCACCTCAGGGAGTGATTAGACACACCCTGACTCGCAGGAACAGTGTAATGGTCATCGCTGGACCAGCTGTTATGGGTGAAGCTATTCATGCGCAGGTTTACAGGATCTGGTCCCAAGATAGTAACTGCCCCTATCACTAGTGAACTGAAGATAAATTGTGCTTGCAGCTTCAGATCTTCACTAGGAAATCTGATTTATCTAATTGCAGAATCTAAAAGTTCAGCAAAGTGGCTACACATTGGGACATGAAAAGTGCATTTACAGGATTATTTTTGCATTGAAGGGAAAAGAAATCAAGCATTTTCTTCTGTATAAAGAAATGTCTTAGACATGAGGCAAAAAAGGAAAATGTCAATCCCTGTGTTGCTGATTTGCTGTTTTAAAGAAAGTGAATATATGCAACATGTTTTACTATATCTTAAAAATAAGAACTGTCAGATATGAAACTTACTAAGTCTAGAGTAATTGTTTTTGATTTAGAGCCAGTTGTGGATATTAATATTTTAAATTAATTCAGTATGTTTTGAATTGCTCTGCCACTTAGTTTACTAGGAAACTAAAACCATTTGTAACAAAACAGCCAGATTGGTTTTAAGTCAAACCAGTGTATAAGAACATGTAAAACTAATGGTGCACTTCAGACCATTAAAAAAGAAACTTCTGGACTATGTAAATGACAATAATTTCAATTTACATGCATTAGAAACCAAGGAAACCAGGAAACTCAAGGGTCAGAAGATGAGATTTCTACAGATATTGAGCATCTAGGACAACTGGCAAGAATGAACTGGAACTAATTGGAAGTTCTGCAGCAAAGCCTTTTGTAAATCTGAACATACCTACAGTTTTTAGCCTGCTTAAAGTTGTTATGGTATGGCACAGAACCCAGCATATTCCGTATTAGCAAATCAGTGGTTATGGGATGGAGAGTAGAACTAGTGGAAGCCCTGATCGTGAAGTGAACACACAGACCAGTAGAAAGCTTTAGGTATTTCCATTATCACAGCTTTGCTGTGTTGTAGGACTAGAAATGAACAGTAGCTGGAAGTAGTCTTTGATGTCTCATATGAACATGCAGTAGTTAGTCTAAAATGTCCATGAAACCTGACCTTGGCATGGTCACTGATCTTGCAAGCAGTTTGTTCATTTAACAATTAGATGGTTCTCAAGCATTTAGGAAGATGAACTTGATTTCTTCAAGCGGCCAGGTGTCCTCTCTTCCTTGCCCCCCATCCTTCCCCCCCCCGCAGTAGGTTTCTACAAGTAGAATAGGCTCAGATTTTGTTTTTACAGGTACATTTAATACCATTTGCAAAATTATTGCAAATCAATTTGCTTCTTTATATATATGATAACTTTAGAAGAACCTGTTACATGTGAGTAGAGATGAATAGCTCATAACCTGTTAAAATGACTGTACAGAAGTCATATCTAGCAGTCTGTCCTAAGAAATGAAATGAAGCATACTTTTATTATTTCATCTTACACTAAAGATATAGTGAGTTTTTTTCAAACCAAATTCTTAATTCTATTATTCAGAGCCTGAGCTGCAATATGTACTCCTAAGCTTTTCATAAAATGCTTGGAAAATAGACTTTTCAGTAAGGGTTTTCAAAATGATGCCTTCATTTTTATCCAGTTGAAAAGTTTAGACTCAACAGAGGACAAACAGAAGCAAGAGGCCAGATTTATTGAAGCATAAAAACCTGCACAAATGGATCCCAGGTGGAGTTCAGTCATGAGTAAAGACTTCAGGATTTGGTCACAGTGATGACCTGCAGATTGCTTAGCTATAGACCAAGTTCACTTCTGGAAACCATAGGTGGAATCTATCACAGTAATGACCCTTTCCCTGAAATGAAGAAAATTGCCAACCTCCCACGTTCTTGTGGCACAATTATTTTGAATAGCAATTTTAGTTATGGGGAGCGCTAGTGTTGTCAAATACATGGGAATTTTGTTTAAGTAAATGTGTATTATTAATGATTTGGTCATTTGGGTGATAGCTATTTTCAGAAGGGAGAAAAATAACACAATTAGGAAAGATCTTCATTGTCTCTCTAATGAGTTTAACAGATCTTTTAGTTCCTCTGGTCTAGTATGCTGACTGAGGTAATCTCAGCCTGAAGTTTTTGGTCCGTTACATGTTACTGTGAAGTAAATTAACTACATTTTCTTTTCAATACAGATTTCGGTTGCTCCTGGACTCACTAAGAAGGTAAGAGAGAAACACAGTAATGACTGGGTATAAAACCAAGAGCAGAGGCATAAAGCAGAGCATACGGATATGTATATGTATAAACCTCAAAATGGTTTATAAATGTTTGCTTTGATCTTTAAATGTAAACCTAATGCTTATCGCAAGTTAGCAATTGCTTACCAGAACCAGATTTGCCTTTCACTGTAGCATCAAACTTGAGGTAATGATAGCAGCATGAAAAATAGCATCTAAGTTGGCAACATGAAAAATAGCTTCTAAGTTGTTAATGCTTTGGACTTTTTTGGCTTTTCTTTGCCTGTAGAAACAGAAATGAACGTATTATCCTTTCAAATTGCTTTGATAAATCTCATTCCCTTTAGGATTAAACATTCCCGAGCATTTTTATGCCTCACTGAGCTCTTTCAAACAACCACAAATTAATTCTTTAGCTCAAAATTTATACTCATGAGACCTAATTCCCCTTGCCTCTAGCATTATTCTAGTCATGTTCATTTGTGCAAAGTGGCCGTCATGTTACTCTTCTGATGTCTTTGTGCACTGAGAGAGGTACAGAGATCATGCGTGGCACTGAGCAGTGGGAAACAGGACTCAGAGTTAGATTCTGCGGTGTTTTACCGGGGCAGGTTGGATGGTTAGATGTCAAACAGCAATTTTAGATGCAAACCCAGGACACTTTTGCGCTTTATGTGAGTGCAAATGCAGGCTTGACCACTAGGTACTAGCTACTCTGTGATTTAGCGTGTCTCTGCTGAATTCAGGCTCAGCCGAACACACACACAGACAAGAGTTTGCGCCTCATAAATACTCATACACAAATATTTACAAAATAGTTACTGGCACAACATGACTCGGCTCCCTTGAAATAATCGAGGAGCCTGATTTATACCACTAATTTTAGTTCACTGTGCTGTAAGCACCTAGAAGCTGGCTCTATTCACAAGAATGTGATATAAAAGACAGAAATTTGAGGGGTTTTTTCTGCAGGAAAGGTACCACACTGAAAATAATACCAAACTTAAACCACTCCAAATCTGTACTGGAGTGGTGCAGTTCCACACAGCCACTGTTTCGTTTGGTATTATGGATGTGCTGGGTGCCAGTAGACTTTGCTGGTGTGCATTTTCATTTCTGTTCATGTGGACAGAGCTGATCTAGTTCTAGTTCTGCTCGACAGAATAGCATGTGCTGCTGGTCATCCACACATGCTGCAAGTGGCTGCTACCATTCCAGCATGTGCTGGGAATCCTTTGGTATAACTGGTTTGCTTGTTTGCAGCCTCCAGGCAGGGGCTCCAGAGACACAGAAGAGTGTGGTGAGGAGCCAAGGGGAATGATGTCTGCTGTCCACCCTGGCACTGCTCTGTGGGGCAGCTTCTGGCCAAGGTGCTTGTGGGGAGCTGGGTTGTCCAGGCTGCCTTTGGAGGGGACCTGAAAAAGCTGAGCGTGTCTTCGTTGCACACTAACACAGGCCTCCTGTGAGTCAATCTGAGCAGACAACAGGCAGCTGGTGAATTTGGGTTGGGAGAAAGTTGCTTGACAGGGCAACATAGACACAGCTGACCAGGTTTTGAGTGGCTCCCCAGTGGTGACCTCCATTTCTAGCTCCTTGGAAGGACATCTTAACCAGCCACAATCCTTTTGGTTGTCTGGCAAAATAATTTTCTAAGATGGCTGAGGTCAAAAGCCACGAATTTTGTGAATAGATGAGGTTTTATATTATGAGAGCGTGCTGTGAGATGGCTTACCTGAAGCCATTCTTCATTTTTCTGTTTTTTCTAACAGCCTACTATATCTGTACTCCATATTTACACAAGGAACATCCCAATAAATAGTTAATATACAGTATTGAATATTTGTATATTAGCTTATAGGAGGTATGTAGCTGAAAAAGTGCATAAAGGTGATGTAAACATGATAGAAGGTGAATTCTTGTCCCAACAAATCTTTGTAAAGAAATCAGTGCTCAGGAAGAAGGAAGGAATGATCCATCCCAGCTCAGGCAGAGCCTGAAGCACCTATATATTAGTTCAATAATTCATCTTTTCATGTTTAAACTTAAGTTATATATCCTAGTGATGTAGAAGTACTTGAATGAGTGAGATGGCACACCAGATAATATGAAGAAGAATAATCAAGTGAACGAGAAACACAATTTGTGCTTGGGATTATAGCTATTTTAGAATTAATGGAACATTAAAAAAGGCTATCTGCTTTTTTCCTTCATGTGTGGTACGTCATATAAACAGACAGTGAGTTCTCTGGTTCAGGAACAAGGCTTTCTATCTGACACAGTACAGTTCTGAAGTACTGAGGTGTACAAAAAAATCTACAGTGCGATACATCTAATTTGTCTTTTACTTTGCATTTGACCTGATGCTTGGCTGCTAAACAGTCATCCTGTAATTTGACTTATAAAATTACACTCTCATTTCCTTTAGTGACAGGGAAACTGCTAAAGGAAGTCTCTGCCATACTCAGTTTAATTTAGATGATCATCCAAATGCACAGATGTTTATCCCAATCTCCTCTAGAAAAGGAAGTGGGACTCTCCCAATCACGCTGCTGTGTCATTTCCAGTGCTCCAGCCAGAGCAGGATCTGTGCAAAAATGCTCTCCCTTGCACTAAAGTATTGCTACACTGTTGGTGTTAACTCCAGTAAGGGGTGAAAAAATGGGGAAAAACATTTTAAAGTGGTCTGCAAAATAAGTTTTTTCAAAGTAGCTTGATTTTGTGACTAAAACATGAAGTTTCCATTATCTGCTATTCTATTCAAATTGATTTATGTATTTCTGACGCATGTATTTTTGCATATTATGGATCTAGTTAAATCTGGAAGCAGATAAATATAAATCCAAATGAAATTAGACATTAGACATCATATTAAACCGTAATGCTTTCATATATTGGCTTCCTATTGGATTTCATGTCGTAAGTTTAGAGCTTGCCAGTGACATTATGTTTATACTTAAGAGTTATGCCCTGCCATTGGTGCATTTTCACTAGTTATAAATTCAATCATATTCCTGTTACATCTACTGAATGCATTATGTATTAAAAATTGACCTCCTAAACCTTTCCAGGTAAAAACCAACCTACCAACTAAAACGAACTAATAGCAGTGGTTTTATGGCAATTTAATTCTGTTGATTTCAGAATTATACCTTTGGTATCATTGCCCTTTAAAAATTAAAAAAACCCAACAAACAAAACCCACCACAAACAAGAAAAAAAGAGCTGTAAGGAACTGTTATCATTTATATGAAGAGATATTCCACTGCCAGAAAAACTCCTTCTCACTAACCAATTCAGGCATCTCTAAAACACTGAGAACTGAACAAAATGGTTATTTTGAGGAACACAAAGGTACTCCAGAACTTTGGAAAATGATGGTCCACTGTCAGTACTCTGGGAGTTTCTGCACATAAGCAAAGGATTTCTGCTGTTCTTCCCAAATATTTGTATTTACTTTCAGTGTGTATGCTATCACTTAATTTTTTATAATATTTGCACAACCCCCTTGAATTTTTTACAAGATTATAAAACAGACAACATTCAAAATTCACTTTTATACTGGGCATGCAAACTGACTGCAGAGAAGGCACTGTGGTTGTAAATTAGAGAAAAGGCATTTAATCTAATATCTATTCTAATATTTAGTCATCGAGGAGAGATAAATTTAAACAAAATACTAACCAATTTTAAAAAGTCCAGCAAAAGCAAAATTTACAGTTAAGAACAAACAAGCTGTGAAAGCTCCATATCCAAAAAAGTGTCATTTAAGAAACTTTGGCCTAATGCCAACATACATCCACCCCCATATTATAACTGTATTTTGGAAAAAAAAAGAATGAAAATCACCATTTGGGAGCTATATTTCCTCAGGTAACATTGGTAAAGCACATAAAATTCCTCCTGTTTAAGCCAATGTAAGCTTATGAAATCTGTACACTTCTGTGAAGCATTTATAAAAATATGATGGTGTTGGACTCTGCCTGCAAAGGCCTTTCTGTGGTGAATGCCAGAAGAAGTACCATGTACAGGACGTATTTTTAATATTGACGAAAATGGAAAAAACAAGCTCAGCCAAATTTGTGCTCCAGGCTTGGACTGTGAACACTGACAAACTCTCTCAGCTACATCCCGCTGCGGAGGCTGGGGAGTTCAAGAAGTGCACAGTAAATCAATGGCCCCTATGTGCCTCTTACTGCCCTTGTACCTGGATGTCCCACAGTCATCTTTTGACCTCTTCTCTGTGGTAAGGAGTGATAAAATTTCAGTTTAACCAAGAAAACTGAGTTTCAAAAATACCAGCACTTACCTCCCTGGTGGTGGAGGAGGCACTACCAAGGAGCGTGTCATTCCACCCAGAGCACTGACTTCTCTTTCTTTTCCTGAAAGAAGAGGGAGATGGGATGGTAAGTTAAACCAGGTGCCTCTCTTTTATATGGTTAAATTAGGAAAAACCTTAACTGACTTCCCCAGCAAGATACCTAATGGTTAGCTGGGGCAGCAACTAACTAATCGATCTGCTGTTATCCTAATCACAGGTATGATAATGGTGTGGTTTGTCTTGGTGTATGAGTATGGAGGAAAAAGCCAAGGAAAATTAGGTTCAGTTGACCCAAAGAAGTTGCTCTTTGTGTTTGGTTGGTTGGTATTTAACCTGTTGAAAAATGAACATGTTCTGATTACCCTGGAATATTATTCTCAAGCAAAGTCTAACTTTTGAAAATTGTAAGTTGTTTAGCTGTTTCTATCTTCTAATTGTTTAATTTAGTTCAGTTCCAGCTTGTAAATAATTTCCTCCCTAGAACTGTTTTCTTCATTGATTATATAAGGAAAAAGAAATCCTTCAGCCCTGAATCTAACACCCTCCCTCGGTACAGCTTCTCTTGTGGGCAGTGGCACCATTCGTGCAAGAGAAATAATGAACACTTATGTGATCTTGACTTCAGAACTAGCAATATCTCACACTGATAAAGTGCCTTGAGAAAACAATAGGATAGGCTGGCATGTGTACCATAACATATTAAATTAATATAGTCAGGATAAATACCTAAAAATGCCACTATGTATTAAATTAATGTATCAGCAGTGAATGACTGCAATTCCCACCTCCTTGAATTTCAGGAAAGAACTTCCATTTCCCTCTCTTTTAATACGGGGGCAACTAAGATTTATAAGTAAGGCGGCAAAACCGCAAGTCTAATGGTACCAGGCTGCAGTCTGAATCTGCTCTGTGTGATTCAAACAGCCAGTGGGCAATTACCCTTCACAACAGCAAGGCATCTCCAGGGTGCCAGGTCTGCTGTGATCGTTTATCAGCTCTGTGTTGAAAAATTCATCACTGTAACTGAAAGGCATAGTTTGCTCTGCTTCCCTAAAACGTAGGATCAGCCCTTAACATAGGGATAGCAGCACCTCTCCCCACAAGAACTTTACAAGTCTTACTAAAATCTTTTTTTGCTGTTTTGTCTTGATAATAACATGCACTGAGCACATAATACAAGGAAGATTATATCTGTCACACAACAAAATTAGTAAAAAACCTCATATAAAATTCTTATAGTATGTAACAAGTTTCCATTCATAGAAATACATATATATTTGTTCTTACAAGCGCTGAAAGGTGTAGCATGGTACCATGCAGTGACTACTCATGCCCCTGAGCAGCAGACCTCCGCAGGGATTGTGCTGATTATCCCCAACAGGACAGGGGGAACATGGGGGCTGAGCATGAAAAGGGCTGTGCTGGAGAAAGAAACAAGGTCTGTTATGAGGAAACGGCCATTTTCACTAACGTACCACAGCTGAATACTTTGACCTTGGTCGTATGATCTTGATGAGGAATACCCCGCTTCTCTTTGTACAACCTTGTGCTCTTAAACCCACATTATATTCCATACATGCATACATATAGAACTGCTACAAGATTTTATGTTGAGTTTCCAAGTTTTACAGGATAAAAGCCTAGTCTGTATATTGCAAGCTCCACATGAAGTTTGTTTGAGGATGCTGCAATCAATACAAAATGTAGAGGTTTTGTAGTTAAGGCAAAATTAAATCTTAACTATCTTTTTCACAGAATGAATTTTCCTCTTACTGCTGAAATGACTGGCTGGGCTGCCAGGCACACCACCACCGAGGAACACAAATTCCTTAGGTCTCTGCTGGTGCTTTGTTTATTTTGGGCCTAACAGACAGAATGGAGTCTGGTCTGCAAAGTTATAATTATAATGTCAATATAAATATAATTACATTTTCTCCAGCAATGGAATTAGTGCCACTAGGAAACAAAATCATTTCAGGTTTCTCCTGCTGCGTTTGTATGAGCTTGGGGTCAAACTGGCAACCAGGGAAATTTGGTCTTTGTGCTCAAATAATGTGATGCTATGCTTTCCATTTCAAGATAAAATTACTACTAGTGGGATTTATGCCATAGGAAAGAATTCTGTTGCTAAAGTTTTTGGTTTTTCAGGCTGCTTTGTCTCACCATATAAAGGTAGTTATTTGTGTGACTTTGCATACATACATACACAGCTAGAGAGAGCTGTGTGTGCGGGGGTTTGGGATGTCTCTTTAGAGAAGTTAATGTGGAAGATGTTATGATGATGTGACTCATTATGATGAGTGCAATTTTTATGGAAAAGATTATGAGCCTCCTGGTACCTATTCCCTGTATCCCAGAGTGCACTCATTTTCTAAGACTCTGGATGTGGACAAGGAATCTCAGCTGACAACTCACCAGTTTTCCCCCGTTCTGACATAACTTTCTAGCCCACTCTGAGTCCAGACTGCTAGATCTCTGCTGGGAGCGCTCAGTCGTAAGCCCTGGATGCTGCTCCCTGCATCTCCTCATTGGTGACCCAGACAGATTGGTGCTAAAGACTTCCTGCAGGCTGTGTGCCCACGTTTTTCCTGGTGAATGAATGTTCTCAAATGAGATACAATCAACAAACTGAAGCTAATTTTCCTTATGCATAGCCATAAGCCTCTTTCAAAAAAGTCTGAAATTACACCACATGGTAAGTATTTCAGTTGCTGCTTTAGCATTGCCCAACTGTGGTGATTTAGAGCAAAGCCTTGCCTGCATTTCAACAAAAGCAAGGGAAAATTTGCACTCAGCCTTGCCTGGCCAGTCAGATTGTGAGTGCAAATCATGCCCACATACTGCCCTTATTCAGTGATAAGGCTACAAATAGCATGAGGGGAGGATGGCATTTTAATTCAGATAAAAAGTGCACTTCTGAAGCAATTATCCTGATTTCTCCCAATTACTGTGCTTTTTCTTGCACTGCAGGTCAGAGCATATGAACTGGACTTTTGGGTGAAACCAACTTTGGAAAGGTACTCCAGGAAGACAATTCTTGTGCTCCAGCCAGTCGGCACATGGGACCAGACTGAAAACCTGAACCATGCGTACACTATGGACGTGGGCTCCTCATTACCAAAGGGAGATCTGCTCCCATTTGGCTCTTCAGCTTTCTAGTGTAGATGCAACCATCTGATGCCCAGCATCCATCAGCAGGTAAAAAAATGATTATTGCATTACAGACTGTTGGTTTTACTACTAAAGTTGTTTCAAATTAGCACTGGAAACCCTGAAATAGTATAATGTTTATACCGAATGAATTATTCTCATGGTTTAAACTCAGTGCTTTCAAATCCCTAGCACCACAGTTTTTTTTCCTCTTCATCCAAAGAAATAACTCTGCTTTTGAGACTCTGCTAGCATATGCATGCTAAAAAAAAAAAAGACATCTCTTTTCCACTATGACTTACATGCCAAATGTGCTTATTTAATCCTAGGTAGAATGAATCTTGGCTTTAATTACTTTAATAGTAATTACATGGTCTTAATCTATGGTTCAGTGATTTATTAGTTACAGCTGCAGTGGGTAAAATACACATAGGCTGGGGGAAACGCATCCCTTTGTAGAGGGCCGCTGTAGGTTCCTTTTTAAATCCTACCAAGCCTTATGATTTAAGGCCTAAGTAGTTTATAGGCTTTGAACAAATAAGCACATTTCAGTCTTTAGATTCAGTCTTCAGACATGATTGCCATCTCCCTGTTAGGTACATAGCACTCCCATTGTTACTCTAACCACTTCAGATGTTAAAAAAAAAAAAAAAGCAAAGCTTGAGTATAAAGCCCCAAAAAAGTGTCAGAGAAAACTTAAGTACACATAAGATTTCAGATAAGATTTTGTTCAAACATTCTGTATTGTTTTTAATTTTCCTCATTTTTCTGTCACTGCTATGAAATTGCAAGCGAGTCAAATTCCAAAAATCAGAACAAGATAAATTAATTCACAAACTTTCTAGATATCTGGATTTAAATTTTTGGTTGGACTGATTTCTAGTATATAAAAATTGTACACTTGTATTGCTCTTCTGAACATCTGAAAATGACAGCATTAAAGAATTAGTCCCCAGAGCATTATTATCCACTTCCAACTGATGGGGTACAAAGAGGCTTGCTGACTTCTTCAATACACTGTGGTAAAGCTGGGAAAGGAACCCAGATGTCCTGGTTCCTCATCCTGTCCCTGAACCACAAACCACACGTCCTTGCCTTATTAGCGACAATCACAGCACATGAAAACAGACTATTTATATCTAAATATTTCATCTGTTCTCACTCATTATTCCCTAACTCACCAATGTAATTATGTTGGCAAGGCGACAATATCTTTTTCCCAGTAAGCGCAAACAGATTGTTAGGTTTTCTGCTGAGATGGAAGCTGCAGAAAGAGTTCCCAAATAACTAAGATCCAAAGGACTGTGTTTTCATGGAAACATCCTTAGTAATGCAGCAATGGGAGAGAAGATTTCTTAACATCTTCCTCGGTTGACTCTGACAGCTGTCTTAGAAGCACTGATCAAGAAAGCTTAACATTGTAAAGAATATCGACCCAGAATGAGTAAAGCCAAAGAGGGAAAAAAAACCACAAAAAACCACCACACCACCAAACAAGAGAAAGGGGCTTTGGAAAGTTTTTTAGTTTTTTCAGCCAGTTCAGTTCCTGTTCAGTATTCCCTAAGACAGTGCAGGGGATGCGCCCATCCCTTCTGAAAATCCCAAGCAGGATGGCCCCCATCCTGGAGCAAGTTCCCTTCTGGGAACCTTCAGGGCCAGGCGAGTGGGAAAAACCTCTGAGCTGGCAACAGGCAGGGCCCAGGGGTGCGGGAGGTTTCAGCCGGTGTCACAGCTCTGCTCCCATCACTCCGTACCACTGGGAATGCTACAACTGTGCATCTGGAGACAGCTCGTGGTGGGAAGGCTCACAAGCCTGCAAACGAGAGACGGGATCTCTGCAAAGTGCAGGAATCCCAAAGCCATAATGGGATTGAAACGAGCAGGGTATTTAGCTGATAGCTTTAGCTGAGGAAAGCAAATAGAGCTTTTTTAGCTTGGTAAAGCAAACAGAGCCTTGCTAGCTCTTTCGTATCTGATAAGCTGGATGTTTCATTTCTACAAACAAGGGAGAAAATGGAGGAGGCTATAGGAACAAAAGCTTGCAGTGGTTGAAGGTGTTCAGCTGGATTCACAATGAGAAGAACAAAATGATAAGGGTAAACTAACAGAGGTAAAGAAATTAATTTTCCCACACCAATACAAACCTAGTAAACTGTCTTAGTTTAGGAGGTTTGCTGTAAGGTTGTAGCCAGATGTATTTCAAAGTCCTTTCCAAACACACTATTCATAATACTGTGTAAAAGTTAGTCAAGCAATATTTAACAGTTCTCAGAGTTTTCTTAGCAAGCAACTTTGGATAGAGAATTAAGAAGATTTGTGCAGAAAAAATCTGAGATGTGCCTTTCATAAATATTGTTACAAATTGACTAAGTGGTTACATATTCTGCAATTAGCAAAAATCATGCTTGTTCTGGTAAAATACTTGCTTCCATATATGGGGAATAATGATGCATCCTGGGCAAAACACAAAAGTCATTGAGAAACTTGCTACTGGAGTCAGTGACACCACATTTCACTCTATATAAGGCAAGGACTTCTCAGCTCTTGACACTGCTTGGGCTGCCCCATCCTGGGACTGAATTGGCAGCTACAATCTGTCTCCCAGATGTAGACATCTTAACGTTGTACTATATATATGCCATGTGTACAGTCCTTTTTATTATTCAGTACATGCAGAAGAACCATGGTTGCGTTTGTTGGTGTGTAGACAACACATACACTAGTTCTTCTCAATAGGATACTGGAGTTTATCACCATAAAACTTTAGGTTACTAATTCCAAGCAGACTCAGAGCAAAGGCTGAGAATACAACATTGATTCACAGTGTTCAGCTTCAAAAATGATCACAAATTAACAGGAACATTTTGGCTGCATTTTTTAGTCTGCTGACCATGCGCTCCCAAATGTAACCCTAAAAAAATCTCCCCAGTAGTGCAACATAACCAGTTGTATTTGAGAATATTGGAAGGAGAAGGCAGCTAAGGAGTACTATATTTTTATCTGTTACTAGTCAGAAACACTCCCCTGTCCATGTGCTCTTGTGTTCTTTCTTGTCCAACGTTAAGTGACTCAGTACAACCCCAGTACAATCCTGAAGCCCTCCCTTGTTTAACACCACAAGTGAAATGGGCACCATAACCTCTGCATGGCCCTGGAGCTGCATAGGAATTATTTCCTGCTCTCTGCAAAGGAAGATGCCTTCAGATTTTGTTAAATGATAACAAATAAGGAAATGGAGGCCTCCCCTAGTTCTAGCAATCCTATCCCTCCCACTGGGCTTTCCTAGAGGTGGCAGAGTTGAAACTCCCAGGTTTTATTTTCAGAACATGGTCATTTCTCATTTTGATATTTTAAAGTAAACAATTCCTGGTTCCCATGTATTATTCAAGTAGAGAGAAGTGGGTATCCAGTGCGTACATAATCAAACATCCAGCCTGCACCAGAAAACCTTCTCAAATCACTTGAGAAATTTCCCTATTGCTATTGTTATCATTCTCCATTCACTTCCTCCAATTATTTAACACTTCAAACATGTTGTGGGGTGAAGCGAGCAAGAGCTGTGTTCCTTCAAGCTCCCTTGGACAGTGCTTGCCCACAGGAGAGGAGAGGTAGCGGCACAGATGTTGCTGGTATCACATTAATACAGAAATAACCTGTTGAAAGTAGATTTGTTTTCAAACCTTTCAGTGAGAAAATATCAGTTTCAGAGAGAGGAATTAATGATTTTTAACCTGCCTATCATGCTCTTTCATTGCCAGCATGTAAAATTGTTATTGGTGTTTCAAAGCTGTAAGTAGTAGTGTTGAGGATATTTTTGTTACTGCCAAAACATTTACATGAAACTGCTATTCAGATCAAATTATCTCGAAACTGCAAAGCGTGCGTGGATTCCAAATTATTCAACTTGGAGAGACTGTTGCATATTGAAATTACACAGTAGAAACCAGCAAAACACCACCATTGCTTCAGATTCATAAGAACCGCAAAAATAGCTCTTAAAGGAATTCTTCTCCTTAAATGCACTACTGTAACAGACACAGGATTTTACTATATTTAAACCAGTATTTTGCTACTGGAAAAACATAGCTTTTCACTCTTTCAGGCAGACTGTTTTTTTCTGACTATAGTTTCCACAACACTTTAAACACAGCCAGCACTGCTCAAAGAGAACAGTGGTGTGGAAGTGATGGTAACTAAAGCACAGAAGGTAAAGAGCTATGACTATTTGTGAAATGACAGAGTGAAAATGTAGATTCAAAAGGTGCAGTAAACTGTCAGAGCTGGTCAGTGCTGGTGTGATCTTATTAACTGCTCTATTTTATGTCTTAACGTAACATATTTATTTTTCAGCAACACACCAGTTATGGAAAAGACTCAACAATGTCACCAAAAAGAGGACTGATAATACTGTGAATTTTAATTCTTTGATGAACCATCATTCATGCTATTTTGATGTATTTTGCTTTGTATAATATTCTAAATAGCATTACCACTACTTTTCTATAAGGGTTCTGTGTTGCAATGAAAGAATGATATGGCTGCGTTAAAGACATCCCTAAGAGTATTGTGGCTCCCTAAAACAACTGTAAAGGTAAATTTGCAAGAAGCACAGGAAGGGCTGTCTAATTTGCAACAGAGGTCAGGGGTCATGTCTCCGTGGCAGAGAGGGGATGGGTGGATGAAAACACTCTATGCGGACAACCAGAAACTTGTAACTCTGCTGCCAGAAAAGAGTTGAAGAGTGAGGGCTGTAGAAAGAACTCACCGGTGAGGAATATTGAGTGTGGCACCGGAGGGGGGTCCTTTGCCCTTTTGGTCACTGATAATTGGAGACTGACATCTAAAATTTGCATGCTTTTTCCATGGAAGTTTGTAGTTGATTTGTTCTCATTCCTTCAGTGAAATATCCTGGAAAGCAACAAGAAAGCAATAGGGTAAGACAGATTCCCTAGAAGTCATGAGGTGTTTGTTTGTAACAGGAAATATGTGCTCTTTCAATACGGTATGTTTTATTGTGATATAAAATCATAGTGATTTCAGAATCCAATTGATAAAAGAATATTCTGCACTGGTGACTATCCTGCATATAAGAAGAGTCATAGATAAGACATCCTGTCTCGAACAAGCTGATATGCTTCTCTGGGAAAGAGAAAAGAAATTAAAGAAAAAACCATATTGGGAGAAATGAAACACTAATGATCTCTTCAGAGGCTTTGCTTTTTCCACTTTTAATATGGATGCAACGGCAGCTACATAAGTAGAACATGAAGAAAGTCCACAAGCATACACAGTGCACATGTTTCAAAACAATCTCTAATACCTACTCTCTGTCACATTCAGATGAAGTGTTTTTTCCTTAACAGAACTAAGGATTAAGGTTTGCATGTCTTGGAGGAGAAAAAAAACCCACTTCCCCTTCAGTTTCACAAGATCAGAACAATTATTATGTTATTAGTGATCAAATTCTTCCTCCAGATTTAGCAAATAGAAGCAACGAATGATGCTACAAAACACAGGACAGCATGGCATTGGCTTTTTAAAATGAATACAAGTTTCTTCTAATAAAATCCTTCTGTCACGCAAGTTGGACAAAAATACTTGCAAACCCATGATTTTTATGAGAAATGGTCTCAAGCTGAAATAGCCCTTTAAAAACAAAGACTGTCTTGTAACCTGGTATTTCCTTCATAACTTTTTAATTCAATTTTTTCTGAACAGGCTTGTCTTCTCTAATGCCAAACACTTTTGGAGGAGTTCATAGTCAACATCTATGATTTCCATGATTTTTTCATTAACTGAAGAGAAGTTCATCTCGTCAGACATGGGTACAAAATACACATGTGCAAAGCCAATGATTTGAGAATGTTTGAAACAGTGATGAAGGAGCTGAGTGCCACGTCACACATCACTATCTGAACTACTTCTGAAATGGCAGGTTTGGCAAAACTCTTGATGTCACCCAGGAGAAGAGGGGCAAAAGGTTTCCCACATCATCTCCTTTCTTAAAATCTCTTGTGGCTTCCTGGAGGAAGAGTTAGCTCTTCGTTCTCCACTTTAAAGAAAAAGAAATCTAAATTACTAGCTCTGATGCAGCAGGGCATTTCAACACCTAGTTTAAAGCATCAGATGAGCTCCAGTGGGTAGAGAAAGTGTGTGAGCAGTCTGAATGACAAAGGCTCGTATGTAAATATTCTGATGAATGAGGCTTCAAGTTGCGTTTGGGAAAACATGCAGTTAGATAAAAAGGAATACAGTAATTCCTTTTTTTCCTTCTTTCTTCAACAGTATTTAACTACATTTTTCTTGGAGTATGGCTGTGTGAAAAGCTGCACCATTGTAGATAAAAGTATATAAAATGTGGTAGATTAAAGATTTGGAAATTAACTTCTCAAGGGACCTTTACAAGTCTAGACTCTATTGACGTATCCTGCCAATTTGTTTGTCTGGTCTCCCTGTGAACATAACATTTGATACTGTAGGCAGTGTAAAGATTTTTGATAAGCTTGCTACTTCCTGCACTACTCTCTTCACAATGAACTTTTTAAAATACAATTTATAGTTTTCAGCTTTCCATTCACCAAGAATGGAGATTATCCGGTGAACTATCCAGTGAAGGGAATTACCCTTCAGAGAAGGGTAAATATTTTCCTTACGCTTGCTGTTCTCTGGCAACATCAGGATGGAGCATCAGCTAATGAAAAGCTCTGTAGAAATAAGGTGTTTAAATCCAGAGCAGCCAGGCAGTGTTTGCAAAGTCACAGGATGGACCCAACAACCCATGGCCCTGGCTACTGAAGGGTGCTACAGAAAAAAGGAAAAAAAAATACACTAGTATTTTTGGAGATCACATAAATGCACTGATGCAGGAGCTCATCTTGAATCTGTGCTGATGGATGTATCCACGGTACATCACATTATTGGAGAGGTCTTTGACACCTTTCAGGTGCAACTGTGCAGAGAGGCTGTGCCTCCCTGTGTATTCAGTGGCCATTCCAAGACAGGCTTTTTACCAGTGGCTCTTTTTTTCCCCTCAAAAAAAAAAGAAATTCTTTAGAAACTGTTATCTTTGTCAAACTGTGCAATTTTCGCAAAAGGTTATTCTACCCTTTCCATACTTAAAACTTTCCTTTGATCTTACTCAACCATTTTCCATAAGCACATTGGTAAAAATGTGATTTTTAAATGTTATGGGATGCTTCCTCAAAACTGGTGTACTAGAAGGTGCAGAGCAATCCTGCAGCAATTCCTAATGAATTACCATGCCTTGCTTTTACTTCCAAAAGTTAAAACTGGCCAAGTCGTAAGTCCCTGGAGAAACAGTAGAGCAATAAATATCTTGAGAATGTCTAATATCCCAAAATCCATCAAGTTCCACAGCATACACATAATTCAGTGCTGTCTTCTCTGCATTGTATCCAGTCTTCAGGTTTTCACCATATGCCTTCATTCCATGGTAGACTATTCTCAACTTTAAAATCTCCTGTTAAAACAAGGCATCTTTTGAGTCATTACTTCTGTGCTAAGATCTTCTCATCGACAGTACCCTCTACATGGTGAATACATACTGCTGAACTAGTAGGATTTGATTGTGATCTTGCTCAGTCTTCACCCTTTCGTAGGTATTTACACTAGTACCAACAAACTGGAGACTTCTGGATATGGACCGCTGGAGACAAAGCTGAACGTAAGAAATAAAAGGCATTTCCACCAGAAAGATTCCAGAAACTAAGCTAATCTTCAGGGGGTGATGCTGACTCATTAATGGCACTTCTTGCAGTGCCTTTATTGCTTTTTGGTTAAGCGCACAATGCATCTGGATAATTAAGCCACAGGCATAATATGGGACAAAAGGCACATGTGGCTTTTTTGCTGTTTTTAATTTTCTTCCTTCTAGTTATTACCGGCCCCACTCTAGTGGCAACAACTAGACATGAAGACTTGTATTCCAATTTTGCCATTTTAGATTAATTTGTAAAATCCATGTTTTCTGAAAATACTAATTTTTACTACAGATAAAGCACATTTTTTTTTCTAAATGCCTTCATTAGTCCAGATACTTTGTTTTGAAAAAGAAAGCCAAGAATATTTGAAATTCAAATTAAAAAAATGACCTGGGAATAGGAGAAATCTAGGAAAACCGTCTCCTGTTCTCCCCATCAGATAAATCAAATATTGTTCTATAAAGTTATTGAAACCAGCTGTAGGAATAATCAGATCATCATTTACACCTGGAAGCATAGTTAGCTAATTATTTAAGATCATCTGAGAAGCTGCCACAAGGGGCAAAGGTGCTTAAGAGAGTTGATTTTGAAGAAAACTTACTGAAAGCTGAGGACCAAGCTGACCTTTGCACAGGAAAACAGGGAATTATGGCAGAGGTCCTCTTGGCTAAGCAAGGAGCTTCTTAGTGGTCTGAAATGGAAATGAGACCATCCAAGTAGCAGAAACAAGGACAGAAAAGCAAGGAGGCATATATAAAATTATTGCTTGGTTACTGGTGAAAAGGGGAAGGCCAAAATCAAGTTGGAGCTAAAAAAAAGGGATATAAAAATTAATAAGGGGCTCCCATAAGTATGCTAGTAGCAAAAGGACCATGACCTTTTCCTGCAGACTGATAAGTTTACTGAATGAAGTTTCAATGAAGATCTAAATCCTGTTTTGCAGACTTTACTTGGGCACTCTACTGCTCAGGATCTGGTGTGTGGACTGGTTTCTGCTCAGAGAAGCACATGAGAAGAATAGATGAAAAGGAAGCTCGCTTTTTTTGTTCTTTTTGTTTCTGAAGTCTCCATTATTAAAATAAATCTCTGCTGTCCATGCATTTAGAAAAATGTCTCCCCTGGTTGTGCACAGGCAGCTCTAGTTTGAACGCATGATGATACCTCTGAGTTGGTCGTCATCGTCCCCCAGGATCCCACCTACTGGAAATAGCAGCAGTATCCTTTAGTGCAGTGTCCACAGCTCTCCCGGGGTTGTGCCAATGTCACACAGTTGGTAATGGATAGACACGGACTATGTGTCTATAAATTAGGTGCACCTGAGCTGAAGGTAGCCTAGCACTTGTCCTAAGACAAGCAACTAATTTTTTAACTTATTTCTGTGCAGTTCACAATGATGCCCACAATGCGAGGACGCTGGGACGGCCAACACAGCTTATCTGAAACTAACCCTGTGAAGTTTGCGAGCTGCCAGGCCAGTCATCCAGAAGGCAAGCTAAAATTAAAGTGTCTTTACATTATCTTTCACCTATATGTAATGAATGAAGTTGAGTTCAAAGCCATCATACAGCTATAACACAACCTTGGCGACCATTCTTTAGATTAAATATCCAGACCTAATTAGGTTGATTTTCTGTGAAGAACCTATTACAGCATGCCGGTGATTAACGTGGCACATGCTAAGCAATAACATTTCTGCTTTGAAACTGTTCTGTGACAGTGGAAAAAAATCTTTCTTTTCTAATATGTCTCTAAATATTGCACCAATTTTGTCAACATGATCTGTAAATGGGCAATACTTCAAATTCTGCTATGGGGTAAAAGAGGTAACATGAAGTAGTTTTCATGATTAATCTGTAATTTAGACTACCTGTAGTTTCATTAACCATAATTACTTTGGACTAGATGAGTAATGCTTGAGCCTACAAGCTGGCAATCAAATGAATATTGTCTATTCATTATGAAGTTCTGTTTTGCCTCAGTCTCTGCCTCTCCCAAATGGAAAGTGAGATGTGGTAACCTTTGGATTTTGTGGCATTCTCCTTAGGATGTTTTTCATACTCCTAACATTGTGTAGTAACACTAAAGCCTCCAGGCTTGTGACTGCATTTTGTCTTTTTATAGAGAGAGCTACAGAAATATCAGAGCAGTAACTAGTGGTCCTGCCACGTACTGCCCATGG